AGCACTCACCAAGAGCACTCACCAAGAGCACTCACCAAGAGCACTCAGTGCACCATCCAACAAACTGGCATGACATTAGCCTCCTGCTCTTCTGGTTTGCTGGCTTGCTGGTCCTTTAGGTGAAATCACAGACACGGTTTGTTACGGTTTTGGAACTGTTCCAAGGCGATTCCAAACACTCTATTTAAGTTCTTTGGAATTCGTGTCGCATTGACGATTCGGTGTGACTAGGTCAGAGGGATTGCACGTCTTGTGATATGGGACATCAAACAATATCAAACAAAAGGGGAAAAGTCACAGGCGCTTTGCTTGATTATTACATATAATCACGAAAGCTAGCTGAAGAGCTAGCTGGAGCTGGAGTTACTCTTGCTTTAGCAAGTTATTAGCTGGGGGATGGAATCGGCTACCCTGTGAGTTATATAATATCCACTGGTAGATCCTTGCCCTCCGCGGGTTCAACTCCTTCAACTCCGTGTCAGATGTGGGAGCAGAATAGTTCTGATAGCATCCGTTTTGGGACCATTGTATTTCAATTATTTCACATCATGCCACGCATCCCCATCCGATTTAAGGCCATGTGAGTAGATGCAGCTAGCTTTCATCACCAACCCCCGGCCTCAAGTTACTATATATCCTTTGACTTGTACTGCAGTGAGCCTTGCGGATTTCGAGCGCTCGAAACCCAGGTTCGGCAACGCAGTGACCGTGGTGGAGATGGATGGCGAGATCGATATGGACAACATGGAGGAGCAGCTGAAGGAGCCCGGGCTTGGTCGCGCGGTCCGGCTGCGCAGTCGTTGCTGCGCGGAGCCAAACGAGGGATGGACAACGCCCCGGCAAAATGTGCGTGAGACGGCACGTTGACTCCAGGGTCTCCAGGAGAGTCTCGGAATCTGGTTCGAAGGGGTAAAGCTGGTGTCGGCATGAAGCAGCTCTTGGTATCGACACAAAGCAGCTGGTTGCCCTCCGCAACAGATGGAAGTGGTAGAAGAAGTCCTGAGACTTTCACCCGAACAGAAGAACTATATAGCACTTTCATAGGCGGCTGCATGGCTAGTGTGAGTGATCCTGCTATGGACTGTTTGTTCATTCCTGTGGAGGATGAATCAAATGCACACAGCAGAGACACTGATTGTAAGTACATTTTCCGGTACTCAGGCTTTTAATACCATGGAGAGCACTTGTCCGATTGAAAGCGGATGTGCTTTGGTATTACGCCATGGTCGTCGTTTGTTTTGTAGTTTTGTTTCTTATTTCGTTGCTTTCCTACTGTTACTCCTCGCAAACGACAGCTATTTCAAGCCAAGATCCTTCTCATTCAACCGCATTCTGAAGATTGGGCGGAACCATCCACCCCATCATGGGCGATCGGACGCTACTAGGGCTAGGGGCTCCTTTTTCCTCGCTACGAACGGAGCGAGAAAGGACGCTACGGACGGAGCGATCGGACGGGCATGTCATCCACCCCATCCCAGTTCTCTCCCTGCGAGGAGATCGAGTCCAACATGGAGGGCCTTGGCGCCAAGTCGGCCTCCGAGCTCACCGAGGCCGGCGAAAACGGAAGAGGTCTGGGTCAGTCGGCCTCTCGCTTGGTGGCGGAAGGCACACAACATTACACATCATATACTGATCCATACTGTACCTATTTTGTCATGTTTAAGTGTATTTTCATGTTATAATAATACATACGCTATAAATTGTGTGTTCATGTTTTCCCCTTCCCCCTGCAAGAATGGATTCTTACCTATACTGCTTACTGTAATATATCTAGACTTCACCCAGAGCCAAACGTGAGGGGGCAGTCAGTTCGGTCGTAGGCTGGTACCAGTGTGGCGGAAATGGCTGATGGCTGGTCAATCCGGAACCCACTTCTTCTCTCACGTTGCATGGCAAGACTGATCATCCGACAGAAATCTCGGCGATGCCCACCACCCAGCCGACTCGCATCGGATCGGGTCGGCGGGTTGAGACCCCGAACCAGGCCATGGTGGGTCTCAAGAGCAGCCCTGGATCCCAGAACGGCACCGGTCTCCTGCAGACCGTGATCGCTATGAAGGCACGCTCCACTCGACGCGTCGTAGGCGCAGCCTTCAAATAGCTTCATTCCAAGGCGTACCCTGCAAAGGTGTAAATGGATGGCATGGCCCCGAAAGGACCTTTTTTTTTTTCCGATGTGTTCCGTCACAAACAGTTGGAAGTCTAGTCTGTCACCATGTGACTGCTGGAAGGAGAGTGAGTCCTTCTCAGCTGGAGTTGAAGTCGAGTCTGTCTCGACATGAGCTGAATCAGGGACCTTCGATCCAAATCAATGAACTCATACCATTTGGTTGAAGGTTTCAGCGCCGGCACCGGACATTTTGAGCATGCGCACTTTTAGTGCAATGGGCTGCAATGGGTATTTCTTGTGGAATCCAGTGTTCAAATCTTGAGATTGAAGTCGTTCCAATCGCCATCGTCGCGTCGCTCGCGCGTCGCTTCAGCGCTTCAGCGCTTCAGTAGTTCGTTGCCTGACAGGTCAGGGAGATCTATGAGAAGATCACTGGCAAGGAGAGATGATCACTGGGTCGGTCAACCAGCTAGTGGGATAGGTCGGTGGGTGCAACCGAAAACACATGACCGTGTGTGAAAAATGCCATTCCCTGCGGGTCACCCTGGTGTAGTTCAGGGACTGCAGGGGGAGGTCAGGTGGAATGGTAGAATGTAACAAATCTGGTATTGGGATATCAACTTCTAGCCAGCCATTTTTCTGCTCAAGCACAACCAGCCTTTGGGATCTTTGAATGTTTGAATGTCCACAGTTGTCACGTCTTTGGCTACAACTCATGTTTCACAAAAAGAGTGTATATATATATATAGCTGAAAAAGATAGCCAAAAAACACATCAATGTGGCCATAGTTTTCCTCAACCTGTGGCAGTTTTTCTTGGTCTAAGTACGGTCTAAGTATGTGCCTCGCCCCTGCCACCTTGCTTCAGGAGGCCTGATGGGTGGACTTGAAGGATCGGCCCTCTTCAGGGTGGCCTGAAAGAGACCATCGGCGCATGTGGATCATCCAGGGGTACAACATACAACAGACGAGAACACCCACACAAAATCCACGGAGCATATCAGGTTCATCAACAACTAGGCTGCATGATTATTTGCCATGCGTTGTTCTTTGATGATTGATTGTTGACACGATTTGACAACAAAAATCGACTGAACCCTTTATTCAGATTATGATTAGTTTGCTTTAAGCTTGAAGCATCGTGTAGATTCCATTGGGCCAACTGGAGGCAACGCTCCCAGCAAACACCTGTTGCTCTGTCCCAATGAATGCAGATCACCCCCACGGGAGCTTACCTAGACCTCCAGGACCTTGCTTACCACCCCATGACAATGTTCAAACAGCTGGACCGTTGAGTTTGAGCACATCTTATTTTAACATACTTTGGACATAAAAGTTTTGTTTGACTCACCTGTGTTGGACAAAGTTGGGTTTAACCAGAATGAACCACGTTTAACCCTTGTTTAACACATTTGCTGGTGTCACCCCCAGATGTCCAGCTGCGATGTCTCGGAAGGCCTTGATTTCTTAGACCTTTTGACCGTCCGAATGGGCGGGACACAGTTCTCCTGTTTAGAAATGGCGCTGCAGTGGTCTTCCGTGGTGTTTCATGGCACAGTGTTTGCACATATTTCATGCAGACCTACGGTGCTCCAATGCACATGGGCAGCAAACTATGTCAACAAATTGGAGAGCAAGTGCTAGCAACAAGGTGCAACACATGTGGATCTCAAAAGAACGTTCTGAATCATTGTGATTGTAGTTGACTGAAATTCAAAGTCGGGCTGCAGGCCTTTCCATGTCTCAAGATGTTGGCCCGCGCGCCGAACACGCGATCAGCACGCGGGCGAAAAGCGATCGGCACTGAGATCGGCCTTCGGGTGGAAGAGTGAAGTCGTGATGAGCCAGTCTCTGCGGGTGACAAGTGATGAGCCGAACCTTCTTGGATTAAAAAGTCTGAGAAGAACCACATGATCTGTTGTACAAAGAACGCTCCCCTTTGTCACGTCTTTTTGTGTGGCTGCTGGGTGTGGATGAAGAGGAGAGACCTCAGATTGCTAGGTAGACACTACTTGCCTCAAACAAAACACGTGTGCCAGGTGGGGTCGGTTCAGATGGGGTGGCAGGCGAGGAACTGGGGTCGTTGAGGAACTGACTTTCTCAGAGTGAGCGGAATTGGATCCCTTAGAAGTGTACGTCGTATCGGTTGATGAATGTGCATTGTTCATAAAGAAGCCACCAGAATCTCCCAGAATCATTTTGTTTGTTTAAACACAGTTCATATAAGTACACATTGAATACCTTGAGGGTTTTGTTGTTAAGGCTGTTAAGGCACAACAGACTCCGCAACTCTGTTTTCCCGGTTGTTTTTGTGTTTTTTGAATCTGTGGAATAAGGAGAGGTCACCATTTGTCCAATGGGGGTCCCTAGGCAACTCATTTTGGGGATTTGCATTCCAAACTAAGACTCTGGAGTTTGTGCCTTTGGAGCAATGCCTAACCTGTATATCTCTTTCAGCCGTAGGCCACTGGAGTAAGAGTAAGGCGGATGAGTACCATCAACAGCGACAAGGGTAACAGTCTGAAAAAGCCTCCCATACTGTTAGTTTTATGTTTTTGTGGATACAACTTTCGAATCGCTGTGGTTGCTAGAACAGTTCCACTCAGAAAAAGGGTGGTGTTCATCCCCTTGATGGCTTCAGGCCCAGGGCGGGCTGACCAGCGTGGCTTCTGAGTCCATGTTGAAGCCTATGCAGGAGCGACCGGGGAGGATAGGTAAAGCATGCACTCAATTTCATTATATTGAACAGAAGCCACACAAGGGCTCGACGATCCTATGAGTGTGAGTTTGACAATGTTGTATGCGTCATCTACTGTTTCCTCAACCAAACCAAGCCAATGGATTGAGGTTCCACGATTGAATTTGGCCCTGACCCTTGCATAGTTGGAGGGCTTGTGAAACAGTACCTCAGAACAGTTAAAGAATATACGCTGCCTTCCACGACCAGGACATTCAGCTTACCCTTTGTCGGAGTTGTGCAAGTTTTGTCGGAGTGACTCTCGGAAGAAGTCCAGTTCTAGTGGAATGCAACGTGTTTGTGTTCTGGATGGATCAACCCACCCATATCATCCCATATCCCTTCGGGCCCTTTCACACTCCTGGTGTTCTGTCGTTCAAAACACGAGCCAAACAAGGTGCGACAGTTCAATTGAACTCCCCACTCCACCTAAATCAAGAGACTGATGTTCTGGCTCACATCTATTATCCATGCAAGCTACTGTAAATACTAGTCTATATATAAACATCTGTCTATATACGTAACTATTTTTTACATGATTTGCTTAGACAGATCATGCTGCTCAGTACTGTAATGAGCACCGTATTGCATTAATAAAAGACACCAGGCCTATTTATACATATCATATGAGGGCAATCTATCTCTCTTGGATGGTTGCTCCATAACAGTCCGTTCGACCAAGTTTGAGGAATACATGAATCGTAAAGGGCCAATCAGTCCGCTGCTCTCCATTTTAATCAGTTCAATATGTCAATTGTGTTGCCGCAAGCGATCGAACAAGCAATGCACTCGATCGTCCAAACCTTGAGTTCTGAGCTGTGGAGCAAGTGAAGTATTGTTTGCAGATTGCAGTTTGCAGTGAAGTCACGTTTGTATATCGATTGTTCTGTCAGATGGTGTAGTGTTTGAATGTGTTTGATGGATTGTTGCATGTGTTTCCCATCCTTCAAAAGCCATAACTCTCGCAGGCGTCTCCTCCGAGGCTGGCATTTGCAGGGACAGGGCCCCATCACGAACACGTGACGCGAGAACATCCGTGAGTCAGCCCTGCTTCGGTTGTAGCGATTGCTTAGAGCTGAAACTCGGCGAAACCATTTGTTATATGTTTGGGATACGAGTCTATTACGATCTATTAAGAGGCTTTACAAGACAATGTAGGAGAGAAGTCGATGGTGCTTCATATACAATGTTGTACACCCATCGTGTGGAGCTGTGCAGCTGTGGACTGCCAGTTGGTGTGTAACCAGGGCTTCAGGAACGAGAGAGTGGGGAACCCCGCGGTGAGGGTCCCGTGTGTAGGGTCTGCGGTTCGACGATGTGAATTTAGTGGCAGACTTATATGAGTCAATCATGGCCACTTGTTCGTGAGGCGGTCCGGGTCCCAGGAGACCTTGTTTGTAGCTCCAGTGTAGCTCGTTCAAATCTTCACTTCTGGGGGTAACGGATCTTCGTTCCAAACCGACCCATTGGTGAAGGAACTGGGCCGACAGGTTCCACACGAACGGCCGCTGTCCTGTGCAAGGCGAGGAGATTGAAGATGAAGACACAGGAGGATGGTTATAGGAGATGTTAGAATTATCTACTTGTTCCATCTTGTTCTCATTTTGTTCCGGATTTCAGATGAGACTTTTTGGAGCTTGTAGCTTGTTGAAATCCATCCATGTCCAGGCATGTCCACATATGTCCAACGTCATTGAACCCGATTGAACTCTACGGGTGTTTGTATAAAACATATAATGATCATTAATATCATATCTTATCGTGTTTGTTGTATACAGTATGGCGTGAATTTTGCCCTCCAAACCCCAAAGCTGACCATAAGCACTGAGAAGCGTTTGCTTGGTCATATCAGTCACTTGTCGACCCTAAAATCGTGTTGTTTTGGCGAGCCCATGCGCTTCCTTGGGTTGGCTTGTTGAAGAAACACACCCAGGTCCGATTGGTGAGTGTTCAAGCGATTGGCACAGTTTTGCCCAGGCTATCCAATGGTCCATATCCACTGATTAAAGTGTCATTTTAGGGATGATGAACATGTCAAGATCAGGTCGGCCAACACTTGCTGAGCTTCGGGGTGGAATCCTATACAATGATACAATCATCCTGAAGTAGAGAAAAATCTATGAAACCATCCTGATAGTGATTGAACTGAACTTTTCTTTGTACGGATCAAATCCACTGAGACATTTTGTCTTGTCCACGGACTGCCCCACGCTGTGGCTTTGTTTTTCTTGCTTCCCAGTCAGTCCAGACTGACG